GATAAATATTATTACAAATCCTGCCACAGAAACAGTCGGTAATGAAGAGACCTTCTCTCTTAGATATGTCTGCTAATCGGAGACAGACTGACTTCCCGTTTATCGGTTTCATTGATCCAAGTGGACGAGCGAAGACGAGATCTGGGCGTAAAGGTGAAGTACCTCTGAGGCTGCAGTTTCCACCAAGCGATCATGTAAACCAAATCAAACTGAGTTTGAAACACAGGCCGGCACACAGCTGGTGGATTATTCCTCTTTGTGGGTAAGTTAACAGCAAGTGCCAAAGGAAAAATAAAACATTCTGATTTGTACACGCTGATGAGTACTGCAGTATTCAGATTATTGCCCATCACTGGTTTAGATCAAATAAAATACTTTGTTTTGATTTATAAAACACGGCGGCTCTGTCGCAAAGTCAGCCACATCTAACTTTTCTGTCTTTACGTCACGAGCCTCGCCGCCTCTGCAGAATCTAAAACTGACTCAAAAGTCCCGAGAACTCCTTTGTGACTCTAAGTTTGTACAGGAGGATGAAGGCTGCTGCCCTTGGGTCAAATTGAGCTTTGACCCAAGGACAGCAGGAGGGTTAATTAAAGTGAAACTAGTTGAACCACATTTCACTAAAACTGTTGTAAACCATGTTACTTAATCACTCTGGCACGTATACATAACATTTATTGGGTGACCTGAGTACATTTTTAATATCATGTCATTTTTAGCTTCTTCTGCCGTTTTCTTAAAATAAATAATCGTTCTGACTCGAGTTTTCATAAAATATCTCTCACAAAGAATGCTCAAAGCTTGACGTCATGAAACGAAAGCGTTTGCTGAAGAAGAGCTGGATGTTAAGGAGCCACCAAGTGGAATCGTTTCCTGTGACACCCTGGGAATAAACCGTGTAAACAAACTCGTCTCGCTCTATTAAAATAGCCCGACGATGTGTAATGCAGGGAAAAAGCTGCGGGTCGTGGATGAAAAGCCATCCTCAGGAGTCAGGTTACCTGTCATGAAGCTCCTGCATGTCTATTAACACTGACGCTGCTGCAGTGGTCGGGCTGGACGGCCGTCTGAGCGACGTTTACGCTCAACCCACAGCAAAGAGAGGCTAACAAAGCAGCTGCAACTTGTCTTTCCAGGGACAAACACATCTGTTGATCTTTGACAGTTTGACACAAGTCTCACGTTACTTTGTGCTCGTTCGCCTCCTTCAGGGGCGTTTTCTGACCCACAGTTTGAATCTATTAATTCAGTTTCAGTTCAGTTTATTTATATAGTGCCAAGTCACAAGAGAAGTCATCTCAGGGCACTGAACAGAAACATTTATATATAAAAATAATAATTTAACACTATTTTTCTGAAGAGCAGACTGCTTTGAGTTTAACTCCATCGCAGAACTCTCATCTTGAGCAAGTATGAAGGCGACAGTGGAAAGGAAAAACTCCTTCATGAGGAAGAAACCTTCAGCAGAACCAGGCTCAGGACAAGTGACCAGCTGCTTCTACCGGCTGGGTTTGAGAGGAACAGGAAGGAGGAACAGATACACAGTGGCAGGTCAAGAATCACATGTTAAGATAGAAATAGTATCAAATGAAAACTATTCAATTTTAACAATTCATTTAAGGAAAAGAGGTCAATTTGTCCTCCAGTAGTCGAAGCCTATAGCAGCATAACGAGCCAACCCTAACTATAGGATTTATCAAAAAAGAAAGTGTTAAGCCCAGTCTTAAAACTGGACAATGTGTCAGCTTTATGGACAGAAACTGGAAGTTGGTTCCACAAGAGAGGAGCCTGATAACTGGAATTCTGCTTTTGGAAACTAGGGACTGTGAGATAATCTGCAGTCTGAGAGCGAAGTGCTCTGTTAGGAAAATATGGAACAACAAGATCTCGAATATAAGATGGAGCTAGGTTGTTGAGAGCTTTGTTGGTTAGAAGTAAGATTTTGAATTCAATTCTGGATTTGACAGAGAGCCAATGGAGAGAAGCTAAAACTGGGGAGATGTGATCTCTCCCACTAACTCCAGTTAAGACTCTGGCAGCAGCATTTTGAATCAAGTGAACACGTTTTAAAGAAGTATTTGGACGTCCAGATAACAAACCATTGCAAGTCCAGTCCGGTCTAGACGTGACAAATGCATGAACCAGTTTTTCTGCATAATTTTTAGATGTTTCTAATTTTAGAGACATTACTCAGGTGGAAGAAGGCAGTTCTAGTAATGTTTTTAATGTGGGAGATAAAAGACATGACCTGATCAAAAATAACTCCAAGATTTTTAACATTAGAGCTGGAGGACAGATTAATGCCATCCAGAGAGGGTGAAAGACTGAAAAATTAATTCCTAAGATGCTCAGGTCCAAAAACTATTATATCCCGTATAGCAGTGGTCCCCAACCTTTATTGCGCCACGGACCGGTTTGATGTCAGACAATATTTTCACGGACGGGGGGGGGGGTCTGGGGGTCCTCCCCAACAGAATTTTGAATAAAGTAAATGCCATTTCCTGCATTCTGGTGTGTTTTACAAACATTTAAAACAGTTTTCACTTCAAATACTCTTAACTGCACGACAAACAGCTTCATGAGCTGAGATCATCGTCTGTTTTATCAGTTCGGTGAAAGTTCAGAGAACTCCTGCAGTGATTCACACATCAGATTGTTCACAAAAGCACTGGTGCAAAACGTTTAATTATATTTTTGTGTTTTATAATAAAATTACCCATGACTTTGAACTTTTAGGGGCAGAGATTTTTTTGAGCAGAAGCAAAAATGTGAAGCGACAGCTCTGATGTGATGCTAGGAAGCTTGTTAAAATTATAGTTTTATTTAGTTATAGTTTTATAGTCAATCTTTGTCAGGCGGGTTGAAAATTATGCAGTGTAAACCTTCAAAATGCACAGATACGGCTGCACACCTCCACCTGTCTGCTCCACACCACGTAGCTGAATTGCTTTGTTCTTCACCAGCAACGTAGAACTGATCTGTGCATGCACCAGCACAAACTGAAACTAACCACTGGTGTATGTTGACCTGCGTCAAGAGTGAGTCTTACACTGATGTGGTAGAGAGAATCAGGTGATTTTTCAAAATAAAACTTTTTTCCCCTTCTGTGCGGCCCGGTACGCATTGACCCACGGACCGGTACCGGTCCGCAGCCCGGGGGTTGAGGGCCACTGCCGTATAGTATCTATATAATACACTGTATTATGTTATACCATTATTGTTTAGTGTATATCTTAGATCCATGTATACTGTTATACTTTATATTTTTGCTATTTTTGGGTGTGACTGGGACCTTGAGTACACAAATTTGTTCTACCTCATGTACTACGTGTGATGTGAATGACAATAAAGAACCTTGAACCTTCGTGTGTCTCAGTCCTGTGTGTTCATTTACAATCTCTGGTCAAATTTGTCCCAATTTAAATCACGTTTTTATCTTTTTGCCATGATTGGAGGCTCATTAATGGTTTGGTTGAAACTCTTTTATTGTTCCGCGGTTGTGTTTATTTTTGAACCTTCAGCTTCTCAAGCTGAAAGTTTCATATTCATGAATATGTTTTGTACTTTTCTGCTTTAAATTTCCTCAGTGAACGTTCTTTTGTCTTTTAATTAGTTCAGTGCTTTTTAAAGGATGCATAATGTATCTGAACTATAAAACTGTTTCTTTAATTAAACTGTTAGAACAACGTTTCATTTAAAAGTAATTAAATACATGAGTAAATGTGCTTTAAATTGTAAAGTTAGTACAATATTGTAAAAATGCTGTTTTGGGCAGTAGTTATACTGTCATAAAAAGATGATGAACATGTAATAGCCAGGTGTTTGTCTGTTAGTAAAATATCTAATAAACTGCTGGACAGATTTTAATGAAAATGTCACAAATGGACCATTAGACAAACATCTATGGTTGATTCAGGATTTGAGTCAACCTGAGTCGACGGTTTGGGCTTTATCCTGATGCATGCTCAATAATCCAGGTAGAAAAATATAACAAAGTTAAATCAGGTCCTCTGGATGGACTCAAAAATAATAAATAAGAAAAATAAATGAATAATTATATATTTTATTTTATTCCATCCAGAGGACCTGAATTAACTTTGTCATGTTCAGGCTTAACTCAACCAGATTTATAAATAACTGAGCTGTGGTGACGGCTGAGGAGCTAAAGTTAGAGCATGCGGTTCCCAACCCTGGTCCTTGAGGAACACCATCCTGCATGTTTTAGTTGTTTCCCTGCTCCAACACACCTGATTCAGAGATTTAATTACTTCAAGTTCTGCAGAAGCCTGTAACTCATAGCAGGAAAACAACTAAAACATGCAGGATGGTGTTCCTCAAGGACTAGGGTTGGGAGCCACTGAGTTAGAGCATGATGTGTTAAAATCAACTCATGAACTAGTTCAGCTTCTGCAACTGCAGAAAAACTGTAGCTCAGTTAATTTTACGCATGCGGAGCTTGGTTTCTGCGTGGTAGTAGCTGAGAGTCATCCTGAACACAAACTCTGAGCTCTAACTGCATCTTTGCTCAGAACACTGGCGTGCGAGTGGTGGGCGATATCAAAATGCTTTTTATTTTGTAACTGAATGCTATTTTTACTATAAATGTCATCATTAATGAGAGTTGAGCAAGTGTGTGTGTGTGTTGACATCCCCACATGTGACCATCTGGAAAATGTGTCTCTTGGGATAACAAAAACAGGTATGTGTGTGTGTGTGAATGCTACTGTTTAGGTAACATATATAAATATAAAAATATAAAGTGTAATGTTACAGTTAAGCGAGGACAATGTGGTTTATTGAATGAATAATAGCACAAGTCGTTAATGTTGTGCAGCTCTAATAACTCACACCCATCCTTCTAGTTTCACGCTCCTGTTGAAAGAGCTGCTTTGTGCGTGAGATGTAGTTTTTCAACACGTCGGACACTTCCTGTTCCTTCTGAGCAGGACGGTGAATGTTGTCGCGGCAGAGGAAGCTGCTGCTCTGTGGGACGTACTTACGTTTTGTGGAGAGAACTCCTCTTGGTCACCGGTGCTCCACTATGAAGCTCATAGTTTTCCCATCAAAGGAGGGGGGAGCGATGATTCTTGGACCCTGCTGCGTTGTGATGCTGATGAGTGACTTTCTGCCGCAGCTCGCTCCGCCTCCTCTGCTGGTCACGTGTCCCAAACTGGCAGGCAGGTGAAGCGGCCCCCCCTGAGGAGCTCCATCCGTTGCGCTGTAATAGGCTTTCTCTGGTGCGTGGCTCGTCAGCTTCACGTTGTCCCCAGCTGTCGCAGCTGCTACGTCCTCCAGGCGGCAGGGGGACTGTGGCGTCACTGCCTGTGCTGCTAAGGTGGGCGAGGGGATGAACCCAGGGTAGATCATGTAGGTGGGGGTGTACGCTCCCGGGCTGAGAGCCAGAGGGGACAGAGGGAGGGGCACAGGTGTGATGGGGGTCACAGGTGATTGAGGCATGGGTACATCCACATAGCGGCCCGTCTCTGGGTCAAACAGTCTCTTGGTGGTGGCCTGAATGGGAGTGTCCACCAAGTAATAACGTCCAGTTGAGGGGTCCAGGAGCATCTTGCGCTGGATTTGTGGGACTTTGTCCCCTGTAGACGGGGTGGGGGACGCATTGGGGACAGACGGGGAGAAGTACACCACCTGCTGCTTGTGAGGACTTGTTGCTCCTGTTGGATGGTGATGGTAGAAGGTAGCAGCGGGGTACTCGGTCTGCTCACTGGGAACCAGCAGCTTGGGTTCATTTGAAGCCCCCAGTCCTGGTATCGTCAGGTAGTTCTCAGAGTCTGAGCAGACCTGTGCAACTTTACTGCTACAACTCGTCTGGGTCTTTTCTGGCTCTGCTTTTACTGAGAGCGGAGCTGCAGAGGCCGTGGAGCTCGGAGGATCTCTGTCGGGCTTCACGTCTCCATGATGTCTGTCGTCGCTGCAGTGAAGGACGCTCTTGTTGGTGAAACTCGGGGGTGTGTGTGTTTTAAACGTGTCTCTGTTATACGGGACATGGATGATGTCCGGGGCTCTTTTCTCTTCGTGAGTCTTTCCTGTTTCTGTGGCCTGAGGACTCGCCTGCTCATCCCTGGAGGGAAGCGACATCACGTCTGTGACTGGGCGAGAGCTTTGGCTCTTACGCCTCCACTCGTTCCTGTCGAAAACGTACAGCTGCTCCATCGTTTTCACGGCGGCCTTGATTTTCTCCAGCGCCTCCTGTTTCGGGGCGGTGACGTCGTTGCTCCTCTTGTCCGACCTCTGTTTCGCCGGTTTGACCTCCAGATGTGTTTGCAGCTCGGCCTGATCTGGGTTCGCCTGCTTCGTCCTGCTGGAGACACGAAGCGAAGGCGTGTTTTCACTTTGGGACGGCTCCGACGGGGCGTCCACCTCTGAAGCTTTTGTTTTAACAGAGTTGCATTTAATCACCATGGGAGGCGCCGGCTCCACTTGGGCTTTCTCCTCAAGTTTCCCCAGAGCTGTGCAGTTTTTACTCCCACTCCTATTCAGAGAAACGAAGCGATACGAGCTTTTGACTAACTTGCGCACGTCCCTGACGTGGTAGATGGGTGCTTGCAACCTGCACCTGGTGTCTCTGATGTCTCTCACAGAGAAGTTTGGGACCTTCTCCGCCGCAGACACAACAGGACATCTGCTGTCCTCTGCTGCCCTGAACTTGTGGACGTCATAACTTATTTTAGGGGTCAAGAGATTTGCAATATTCAGTGTGCAGCCCCTGTTCTCGTTTGTCAGGCGGATTTTGATCTCGGGGGTTTTCCCTCCCTTCTCGTGCCCTTCCTCCACCTTCATCGTGTCTTTTCCACGTGCAGGTGCAGCTGCGTCACGTGTTGTGTCCGTACAGTTCCTGTCCGTGGACGACAACAGCTGGCAGCTGGGAACAAAGAGGAGTTTTGTCAGCACGCTGCTGCTGTCTGAGCCTTTGGAGAGATCAGGCTCAGCTTCTGGTGGATCCAGCGCACCCCCCAGGACAGTCTCTGGATCTTTTGTCTCCTCAGTGCAGGAGCTGGACCTGCCTCCTTCTGGGTTCTGATCATCAGCTGATCCAGAGGTTTGCCTCTGCAGGCCTGCACTCAGACTCTTCTCCAGATCTTTCGTGTTGGGACAGGGCGACCCGGAGGGGTGGGAGTCGCAGATTTCCCCCCTCTCCATTTTGCGCTCGTGCTCGAACTGCATCTTTTTGGAGATGACGTTTTTCAAGAGGCTGGAAGCAAAGATCGCCCGCTTGTGCGTGTCACCCGCTCCGTCTGACGTGGCCTGGTCCGGTCTCACGTTCTGGGCACATTTGGCTCCTGTGCAGCGGAAGCTGAGCGTGACTCCGCGCTGCTCTCTCATTTGGCCCTTTGGACCTGAAGGTGCTGCTTGCCTGGAGCTGACTCTCCTGGAAGCTCTGCTCCGAGCATCTCCGTCCCCTCCAGCTGCAGCTCTGCTCATCTCCAGCTCTCTGTCGTAGCTCCAGTCCACATAGGCAGACCACTTGTTGAGTCCACAGTCTGGGGCCGAGGACTCGCTGGAGGTGCTCAGGTTGATGGCGTCAAAGTACGGACAGGCCAGGCTCCTGAAGGACCTGGCGGTCAGGTTCCGCACCTCCTTGTCAGCATCATCCAGCTCGCTGAAGGAGCTGGAGGCCCCGCTGGAATACTCATTGATGTCTCTCCTCCTCAGTTTGGAGGCCCGGTGCTGCCGGCCCGGAGCCGGGATGAAATATGGAGCCCGGTCCACCAGGGGCCCCCCTCTGGAGCCAGAGCTCACCAGGTGGCTGCTGTCTGTGAGCTGGTGCGTGTGCCAACAGGTGCCCTGGGCCTCGGTCCCGGCCCCCGGGGAGGTCTGGATGGACAAGTGGATTTCCCCCGCCGGGTTCCGGTTCTGGTTCCTGCACAGGCTCTCATCCGAGCTGTACAGATCGCTGTCCTCCTGCTCGGTGCTGACAGCCGCTCTGCCAAGATTAGCCCGCACCTCCTCCGGGGTCGGGGTGCCCCCCTCCTCCTCCTCCTCCTCCCCCCCTTGGGGGTCGCCGCTGTCAAAAGACGCGTAATCCACAAAGGAGTAGACCAGGTTCCCGTCCTCGAAGTCCCAGCGCGTGCCGCGGCCCAGGTCGTAGTCCACGTCGTGGTCGAGCTCCGTGAGCTGGATCTCGTGCGTGGTGATGTAGTGGGACTCGTCCTCCGCCGTGTCCCAGCGCGCCCACACCGTGGTTCCATCGTCGGACGCTGCCTTGCTGTTTAAGCACATGTCCGTGTATCGGAGCTCGTCGCCCGAGTCCAGCTCGGTCCGCTTCTCCGAGTCCGGGTCGGGAAGTTCGGGGAGGACGGTGTCCTCCTTGTCCTCGTGTGAGGCGGGGTTTCTGTCACCTGTCCTCGAAGAGACGGACAGCTGGTCTCTGTCCCCGGTGAAAGTCACCCTCACCGTCGGCCCGTCCGGCTTCAGGTCCAGGTCCACATAGTTGGACTCGGAGTCCTTGGTCTCCGGTTCCCGGTCCTTGTGTTTGAGCAGCGCCCCGTGAAGTTCGGCGTCAGCTCGGTAACTGAGAGTCTCCATCGAGTCCGGTCCGAACCCGTCCGGTGCTCCTCCGACTCTGGACCGACGGTTCTGGAGCAGGGGGCGGCCAGGGTGTGTGTGCGTGTGCGCGTGAAGGGGGAGGGAGGGGGAGTCTTCCATCCAGGCTTCATCATTTGAAAGTTTCCGAACCTTTGGGTCCAGCTGACAGATTTAAACGGACCTGCCTTTGCTGTAACTTTAGAGGTTGGACATGTTGGACATGTTGGACATGTTGGACATGTTGGACATGTTGGACATGTGTTTGCACTTTTAAAAAAAATGTAATAAAGTTTTCCTGTCAGTGCCAGGGACGGATCAGAGAAAACCGAGGGCCTGGGCTCAGGCCTATGATGGGGGCCCCAGGAAGATATTTGATGATGCAGTTAACAACAAATATCAGCGGAAGTATTTGCTTTTAAGTGAGTAAATAATAAAGTGAAATTATTGCAAATGTTCATGCTCATTATTTACTTTTAAACTTTGCAACCATGACAGTAATGCAGGTGGATGCATTCCAAGGTTGCCAGATCAAATCCTGGTCCGCAAGCCTTTCTGGGTGGAGTTTGCGTGTTCTCTTCGTGCATGCGTGGGTTTTCTCCAGTTACTCCGGTTTCCTCCCACAGACCAAAAACATGCATGTTAGGCTGATTGGTAACTCTAAACTGTCTCTAGGTGTGAGTGAGAGAGTGAATTGTTGTTTGTCTCTATGTGTCCCTGTGATGGACTGGAGACCTGTCCAGGGTGTCCCCCGCCTCTCACACTGTGACTGCTGGATATGGGCACCAGTGACCCGAAAAGAAAGCAGCGGGTAAAAATAATGGATGGAATTACAAATAACAGAAACAAACCACAAAAAATGAAAGTGATGACATTTCCTGAGGAAAATGTTTTTTTTTTTTGTTGGACTTCTGCTTTTACAACCATTTTTTTCTGTTAGACACACAATGATTTTATTTTTAAAAAAATATTGTTTTGTTCCTTCATTAATTAATTTATTTAAATGCTTCATTTAATTAATAATTAGTATAAATATTTTTAAAAGAAGCTACATTGTAACGGTACGTTGTGAGGAAAATTGTCATTTCTCCCTCAGAAATGCCAAATTTAAAAAAATTAAT